TTTAGTAAATTACCCTACCTACACAAGTTTTGTTTACAAAATATATACATTCCACCTTAAAAGGCTCCCAATCCATTATTAGTGCCTTCAATTAAGGGATTTAGTTACACCCTTTACCTTTTTTTCTCTTCTTGTCTTTTCTCACTATACTAATCTGTTCCTGATGCTGGACTTCACCAATGGTAATCAATGCTTCTTCAGCCTAAGATTTTGCTCATCTCCTTTGTAATTTACAATTACAATTATTTTGTCAAATTATTATTGTTAGTTAAATACCTCAAGGTTAATCGCATGACCAACAAATTTCAACTCATCAACGTGAAGTTGGACAGTTAGCTGAGAGAGCAATATAAAGGATAATAAGAAAGTAGTTTAAGTCTCTTAATGTCTGGTCCATAGCTATAGATATTATTTTCTTATGTTCAATGCACTCATTTTCTTTCATTAATTCAATTCATTTTAAGCTTTCTATTTCTATTGCAAGCATTTGCAATTTTAAAAAAATATACGTGGTAATTCATCACTAAGATCCTTAATGAAATGATCCTAAATATTCGTAGAAGAGCAAAATCCCTAATTCAACGGCTAATCATGGTTAAATGATATGCATTTTTATTTAATTAATTTTTTAATTAGATGTAAACACTCGATCTGAATAAATATTTACAATCGTCAAAATGACCAAATATTAGCCGACTAAATTTTTTGCTAAAATGTATTGGTCCTTCGCTCTAATTATCTGTCTATCCTTGAGTATTATATAATTAATCTTGGTCAAACTCTAGTTTTATATAATAACATTCAAATAATCTCACCGTCATTCTAAGTGATATTACAAACTTCTACCATATTTAATCAATAATGACACTTAAGTATTATTCCATTTATGCTGATTAAACTCTAATTTTATTATAATAATATTCATATAATCTCACCGTCTATCTGAATGAAACTTCTTTGATATTTAATCAATTGACACTGTTAGGGTGCCACTTATGTATTTGGCAAATTATTCTGAAAATAGTTAAATAACATACAACTTAAATGCAAATTGTATACAAAATTTATATAATATGTCTTTTGTATATTATGTATCTGATTTATACATAGTAAAAATAAATTTCATACAACTAATTATATATTATACAATTTATCTAAAACTTTCACACATTATTTCTACCCAGTTAAATACAATTACAATAACATACAACTTAAAATATAAATTTTATACAAAATTTATACAATATGTCTTTTGTATATTAGGTGTCTGATTTATACATAGTAAAAATAAATTTCATACAACTAATTATATATTATACAACTTATCTACAACACAATTTTCATACATTATTTCTACTGAGTTATATACAACTACAATATCATACAACTTAAATATAATTTTTATACAATGTTATTGAACTTTCATAGAATAGTTAAATAAATTACAAAATATATATAAATAATAGAATACGATTTTTCTATAATTTTACTACAATTTTGTAAATATAATGTATATCATGTCTTCTTCTTCTTCTAATACTAAGTCTAATCTTCACCAAAACCCCTCAAAATTGAGATATAAACTCCAAACCATATTCCAAATTATTTGCAACAACACCCAATCCAAACAAATAATGATTTTTGAAAATCCAAATTCGAATTCAAAGCTTCAAAGCTTTTTATGGCTGTCAATGGTGGGATTGCTGCTCTCTTTTCCTTTGCTTTACATTACTAAAATTAGGGATTGAGAGATAGAGAGATACTNGGGGGGGAGTGGAAGATACGTTGGAGTGATTATAGGACACTAATTATTATCATTATTTCCCTTAAAATATACATAAATGGTAATTGGGTATATAAAATATAATTATAGTAGAACTTGAGTAGGGAGGGTAATATAGTTTCATATAGTGTATAGGAATGTAAAAATTCCTATTATAGCCCATTCTGACACATCAAACAGGCCAAATACAACCCATGAAGCTCACCCAAAACAAAGGGATCTCACCCAACTTACCTAGAAATTTACTTAGTTGCCCCAATTTACTTTTTATTTATTTATTTATTTTTGTATTTTTTTTCTGCACCACCCCTACCCCCTGCCCCGCTCAAAAACCCCTCAAAATAAATTTTTTTACTTTTTATTTGTATTTTTAATTTTTTTTTGTTTTTCTGCACCACCCACCCACCCCTACACCCTACAACAACAACAACAACAACAACAACGACCCGGTATAATTCCACAAGTGGGGTCTGGGAGGGTAATATGTATGCAGACCTTACCCCTACCCCGAGGGGAAGAGAGGCTGTTTCCAGGAGACCCTCGACTCAAGAAAATCCCCTACACCCTACCCCTCCGCAAATCCCCTCAAAAACAATTTTTACTTTATTTTTTGTATTTTTAATTTTCTATTTTTTATNTGAATTCGAATTTGGGTTTTCAAAAAACATTATTTGTTTGAATTGGATGTTGTTGCAAAGAATTATGAATTCTCTCTACGTCTCTCTCCATCTCTCAATCCCTAATTTCAGTAATGTAAAGCAAATGAAAAGAGAGCAGCAATTCCACCACTGACAGCCATTAAAAAGCTTTGAATTCGAATTTGGATTTTCAAAAATCATTATTTGTTTGGATTGGGTATTGTTGCAAACAATTGGGAATATGGTTTGGAGTTTATATCTTAATTTTAAGGGGTTTTGGTGAAGATTAGACTTAGTATTGAAAGAAGAAGAAGAAGAAGAAGAAGAAGAAGAAGAAGAAGAAGAAGAAGAAGAAGAAGAAGAAGAAGAAGAAGAAGAAGAAGTTATGATATACATTATATTTACGAAATTATAGAAAAATTATAGAAAAATTGTATTCTATTATTTATATATTTTTCTTTTATTTACTTAACTATTGTATGAAAGTTGAACAACATTGTATAAAAATTATATTTAAGTTGTATGATATTGTAGTTGTATATAACTGAGTAGAAATAATGTATGAAAATTGAGTTGTAGATAAGTTGTATAATATATAATTAGTTGTATGAAATTTGTTTTTACTATGTATACATCAGACACCTAATATACAAAAGACATATTGTATAAATTTTGTATAAAATTTATATTTTAAGTTGTATGTTATTGTAGTTGTATTTAACTGGGTAGAAATAATGTGTGAAAGTTTTAGATAAATTGTATAATATATAATTAATTGTATGAAATTTGTTTTTACTATGTATAAATCAGATACATAATATATAAAAGACATATTATATAAATTTTGTATAAAATTTGCATTTAAGTTATATATTATTTAACTATTTTCAAAATAATTTGCCAAATACATAAGCGGCACCCTAACAGTGTCAATTGATTAAATATCGAAGAAGTTTCATTCAGATAGACGGTGAGATTATATGAATGTTATTATATTAAAATTAGAGTTTAATCAACATAAATGAAATAATACTTTAGGGTCATTATTGATTAAATATGGTAGATAAATAATTAATTAAATGAAAATGCATATCATTTAACCATGATTAACCGTTGAATTAGGGATTGTGCTCTTCTACGATTATCTAGGATCATTTCATTAAGGATCTTAGTGATGAATTACCAAGTATATTTTTTTTAAAATTGCAAATGCTTGCAATAGAAAGAGAAAGCTTAAAATGAATTGAATTAATGAAAGAAAATGAGTGCATTGAACATAAAAAAAATATCTATAGCTATGGACCAGCCATTAAAAGACTTAAACTGCTTTCTTATTATCCTTTATATTGCTCTTTCAGCTAACTGTACAACTTCACGTTGATGAGTTGAAATTTGCTGGTCATGCGATTAATCTTGAGGTATTTAACTAACAATAATAATTTGACAAAATAATTGTAATTGTAAATTATAAAGGAGATGAGCAAAATCTTAGGCTGAAGAAGCAGTGATTACCATTGGTGAAGTCCAGCATCAGGAACAGATTAGTATAGTGAGGAAAGACAAGAAGAGAAAAAAAGGTAAAGGGTGTAACTAAATCCCTTAATTGAAGACATTAATAATGGATTGGGAGCCTTTTAAGGTGGAATGTATATATTTTGTAAACAAAAATTGTGTAGGTAGGGTAATTTACTAAATATGAACATTTAGGGTAATAAAGTTTCCAATAGTGTATAAGAATGAAAAAATTGCTAAAAAATAATGGGTTAACTTGAGCTCAGCCCAAATAGACCTATGAGCTAATATTTGTAGCCCAACCCATTAATCTCTAGGCGGGTTGGTTGGGTTGGATGAGTTTGAGCTCAAATTATCACTCCTAGGCGAGGCTAACCTGTTAATGGCCAGGTTTAACCCGGAAAAATCTGATCCAATCCAGCCCGGTATGTAGTGTGGTGGGACAAATTGTATAGGGGTTTGGTACTGGACGGAGCCAATTTTAAACAAAATAAATAAACAAGTTAAAAAAATAGCACGACCTGGTTTGAACCGGATAGGCCCGAACCTAGATGTCCCAATAAAACCTGAAAAATCCCAGCCCCCTAACAGCCCGGTACACCAGCCCGTTGTGATAACCGAACGGGTTGATTTTTTCCACCATCATCCCGATCCAACTCGTCCGATAGCCACCTTTAGTTTTTACCTACGAATGCGTTATATGATTCTTCCATTTTGAACTCCATTATGTGGTGCATGACCTCATATTTAGCAACAAACCATGTCGCTAGTTGTTACACCTACGCAGTGGTGCACATATTATTTTGTGCAAGCGACATCAATCTATTCTCTTAACTCAACCGGTACATATGTTTGGTTTTGGAGTTGTAGAGATTTTAAAGCTTTATTTCTTGTTCCAAATCAATGTCTACTTTTGTGTTGTTTTTGTTGGGAATAAAACCCGTAAAAATAATATTCACGGTATTAATGATAAACGCAGATCACTAAGTTATGGTTAAATCAGCAAGAATAGAAATGCAACAATAATGACACCAAGATTTTACGTGGAAACCCTTCTGAATAAGGGAAAAACCGCGGCCAAGAAGAACAACTGATATCACTATAGTGAGGAATTTTACACTGTGTAGTAACGAGTAAAAATACTCCTAAGACCACTACACTCTCAAAAGAAATAAATACTCTTTTGCTTTTTTTTTCCACCTCACTACAATATCTCTCACAATCTATTTTTCTTCACAAACTATTTTCTTATAGTTTATGGAATACCTTGCTCTCTATCTTTCACTCTTTGTTGGTGTGATGAAATGAGAGTTAAAGCTCTCCTTTTATAGCCAAAACCTCACTCTCTAAAGCCTATAATATTTGATAATTTACACACCATTTTCACAATTTCAACAAGGTTGACTACCAAACTAAATCAAGTCAATAAAATTGGCTACCAAATTATATTAATTCAACAAGGTTGGCTACCAAACCAAACCAAGTCAACAAAATTGGCTACAAAATCATTTGAATGAGATGGACACCATATCAGTTTTAAAGTGATATTTGTCTATTTTATATATACATATTATTTTTTAAAAGAAAATATAGAGTGATGTGTGTGTGCGGGCACACGCGTGTATGCATGTGTCTGTTTGTGAGTTTTTTCAGTGAAGCTTGTCGATGACATCTTTTGTGTGCCAAACTTTGCAGGCCAACTTAATTGTTCCAACTTTCAAATGAAATTGGAACTTATAGTTGAAATTAGTGCAAGCAATATTTTATATATTATATCAACCACTTCTTCAAAAAAAATTACAGATATGCACAAGGTAACTAAAAACAGGTTTCATACAATGTGGCACCATGTGAGGTTTTAATTTCCATCATTCTATATATTCCTATGGTTTTAACAATGTACAATGCAAAACTGAAGAAGTATCAAATATTGATGTGGCAGGATGAATTATGTAACAACAGACTATACTGATAGTTGCAAAATTTCTCACAATCTATAATGTTGTGTTGGAAATTAGATGTACTTCATATAGTGCATCTTTCTCTCCCTTTGCTGCAGGAACAAAGTTATGAAGGTTAGTGCAAATCAGTGCAATTTAGAAGTCATATAAGTTCACCTGAATCAGAGGAAATACCAGATAAGATTAATTGTTGAAATTAAAATTCAAAGGAAAACGAGCATACTCAATAAGCATAAGGCCATTTGCAAGCGACATGATTGACTTAAGTTTGTTTATGTGATGGCTCCTCGTGACAGTGACCAAAATCCACAAATATTTTTAGTGAAAGCCAAATAGCAATTGAGCCCTTGGAGTTTTAGTCTAGTGGTGAGAACAAAATGAGTGATGTGCAGCTTAGGCACGCGTCACGAGTCCAAACTCTATCACGGACAAAAGCATGGCATTTAAGTGGAGCAGAGTAGATGCACTCATTATCCACTAGAAAAAAAGAAAAGAATCTGCCAAGGTCCAAATAGAGTGGAATTGTAGGATCCACAGAGATTTCATATTTTAGGGAGCGAGGACAATTCATAAAATTTAGAGAATATAGATAGTCTAATAGGGGACAAACGCAATATTCAAAAAGAAAAAGCAGAAAGTAAGCAACATAGGGTTTCAGTCGTGAGGAGCTCTTAGGTCTGCCGCTGAAGTTGGAGTTGTAGGAATTTTTTGTCTTAGCCGGGTCTAGGTTGTGAAGATGTAGAAGAAGAGTTCTTTTAAAGTGCAAGGGTTTTATGAGTATTGGGCTTGGATCTACGGGCTAAGGGTCTGAAAAGTGGGCCTAAAAAATGGGTTGTTTGAGTGCAAATTTTATTTTTTCTCTTTGAACAAGACTAAAAATACTACCCATTTACTAATTAATCATACTTAAGTAAAATAACTATTAAAATAAAACTAACCGTTAAAATAAACCTATTTTGGTATTTTTCAAATATCAATCCTAAAAATAAAAATGGGATTAGATTAAAATCATCGCAAAAAATTAAAATAATATTCCTACCAATCTACTAATATTCCTGAAAACAAAGTAGAATTATTTTTGTATTTTGAATTTTATGAAAGGTAATGTGTAAAACCTCGGGGATGATCAAAAGTTACATGTCTACAGCTGCCCCTCTTTGACTGGAAACACGAAGAGTTTTCAGACAAAGAACGACGAGACAGGTTTTTGACCCGACCCTTATTTAGAGAGACTAAAAACAAAAAATAAGGAGAATGTGACCGAACCCTGGTATCCGAGCTGCCTACATTTTGGCTATAAAGGAATCAGGCCACGTGTAGTTCAGAAGTGAATGAGGTGATGGAGTGTGTGGAGAGGATGAGAGAGTCGAGTGAGATTCTGTCCGAGGCTCCGGTCCGTGGTCTTGTTATTACATCAAAAATCAAAATAAAAAAAAAATACTAACTAAGCCTATCAGCTACGAGTTACAAGATTCTTATCTATGAGTCTTCTGAAGCTTGAT